GCACAATGTGCGTGTTGTGTCATCTGCCACAAAAGCCTCAAAAGATAAGAGCTGTCCAGGATGTCATCATAAAGGAGATCGACTTTAACTAAATGGACAGAGCTCCTGACGGGACATGCTGGATGGATTTGTTGATGTCTCATAAGAAACGGTCTGTCTCTGCACCTTCAGGTCAAAACCAACACATAAGCAGAAGTGACATTTTAGTCGAGAGCTGCCAGTCAATCCTGTAGTAAAAGCTTTAATCCTGCATGTATGGACCTGCAAAAATGTGCAACAGTCTCAGATGACACACCAACAACTCGGCATTAACAGAAAATCTCCACACTGTCAAGGAGGCATGAGGGGAATTTGACAATTAATGACAAAATGTTATCCTCAGAAGAATAAAGAGTTTATTTGTTAAGTGAGTTATTTCCAAGATTATTATTTTTTTGTTTTTGCTTCATACAGGGTTTGAAAATTCCTACAATAAATGTATTTGCAGCATATACCGGTACATTATGTTAAATGAGGACAAAAATAAAAAGATGTATAAAATCATATTTACTAAAAGACAACAGTTAATGCTCATCCCTCTCCACGTTTTCTTCCTTTATTATTCAGTATCTCCTGTTTGGCAGCATGACAGTGCTTCCTTTGTGTTTGATCCACTCTTGTTAAACTCTGCAGAGGGGCTCTCCATTCAGTTAAGCCATCTAAAACCCTTTCAACCAATAAAAAGGCCTCAACAAGACCAAACTCCTACATCATTCAAACAGTAAACACAGTGTGTGTGTGTGTGTGTGTGTGTGTGTGTGTGTGTGTGTGTGTGTGTGTGTGTGTGTGTGTGTGTGTGTGTGTGTGTGTGTGTGTGTGTGTGTGTGTGTGTGTGTTTATAGAACTTGCCTGCACTAATCTGGCATGGTTTCTAGTATTCATTCATCCTTTTATTCATTCATTCATTGTAGTTTGTAAGACCTCAAAGGTGTCAATAGTGAAGAGTGCACACGTTTAAGGTTTCTGACTTGGCCTATTGTGATCATTTCCTACTAGACCCACACATTTGAAACTTCTGAATCAGGGTGTGCTGAGATTTGAATTCCAAAGTGACTCAATAATCTCCAAGACCTAATCAAGAACTGATCATCAAAGTAAAGCCTGAAATGCAATATATTTTACTATCTTGAAGAACAATAAACCTAGTGTGTCTGAAATGGACATAAATCTTGGCTGTCATCTCTCTGAAACTGTGAGTCACAGCTGCACAGACGACATGTTGTGAAACGCTACATTTCAAAACCTTCTTCAGGAAGGATGCCTGGATGCAATGGTTCTCTGGACCGTTGATCCATTCGATAAAAGGAAGGGTTATCTCTCTCTTCCTGTCATGTCAGGGCAGCATATTTTGTAAACAGTACCTCAGGATCAGACAGGTGAAGAGTTTTTTTTTTTGTAAAGTGGCAAAACACAAAATATCAAAAATATGTCACCATTGAAAAGTACACTTCCAGTAAATTAGACTTTCCTGAAAAACGTTATGTTGGTGGGGGAGGCTTCATGATGTATTCATTAACTGCTCCCATAAACAAGACAGCACATTTGTTTCAAAATATAAGCTTTTTTTTCCCAAAGCTGGCTTTTCGGCAAATCTCAAGAAAAAGATTCAAACTGTTTGCCTTTTAGAGACGAGTAAAAAACATAATAAATCCCAGAAGCTAAGAATGTGAGAATCAATAAGAAATGATTCATAATATAAATTAAGGTGTGATTGAATAAATCACAGCTCAAGGGATTAAAGCTAATCAGGAAGTGAATATTTTCACAAGGCGTGTACTAAACACTAACATGTGCTGCTCCTCTTTCTTGAGTTTTCTGTAAGTCCATGTAGGACCCTCCACTTCTGGAAATGTGCGACAGAATAAAGATGGGAAGTTATTTCCCAGATTAAAACCCATTGCATTGCAAACTAAGCTTAACATTTTTTAAACTGAGGCAATGTCTTTCAGTAAGAAGTGAGTGTGTCATAGATGTCATGATGATCTGTCAAACAGGTTGGATTGCAGTCTTTCAGCAAGTTTTGATTACAAGCAAGTTAAATCTGATCTCATGTCTGGAGATCAGTATGATTTAAACACCGTCTGGGATGGAAATGAGAGCGTTGCAGTAGCTTTGTTTCTAGAAACAATGCTCGCTGAAAACTGACTCCCAAACAGTCTATACTGTAGCTGCGCAGACATTTCCCCTCGAACGCTTGGCAAAGGTTCTGTTTTGAAAATACACTGCAGAGCCTCTGTTGAGTTTGACCCACTTTTGTGAAGCAGAGATAATAAACATGCTGCAAATATGTCTCACAAAGCTCAATGACAGCTTTAAGAACTTGGACTTGCTGACGGTTGAAAGATTGGTATAATTTAGTTAATACACCTCAAGACAAAAAGTCTGTAGTAATGCTTCTCTATTAATCACGATGGATTATTATGGAGATTTTCCCTTTAGGTGTGGTTAGAAATTTGGCAAAATCACAGCAAGTGGAGCAGTGGGCAGGAAGTATTATTTGCCTTGCCAAGGAAGCACAGACACTGGTATTGTAAAAAAAGTGTTGACTTGCTGTAGGCAAAGGAAGGAGCTGCTGATGACTGAGCCATGGCTGTCAAAGAGAGAGAGAGAGACACAGATGTGACCCTTTACAGCCAGGTCAGGACATGAACTGTCAGCCAATTGAAATCTGGATGCTCTCACATAGCGTGTCCACACACTTTCTTACAGCTAATTGATTAAGGTATATGCATGCAGACTCGAACATACACTGAAAAAATTTACTTTGACTTCACACTGACTGATAATATGGAGCAGGTCCTTATTCTGTAGGAGTCTGTAGCTCTGTCAGCTCTTTATACTTAAAGATAATAGAACCTGTATTTTAATATTAACAAGGTGTTGGGTAGTTTTTATGTATCTGAAGAGAAATCTAACCTGCCTCTGCATCTTTCTTAAACTCTCCTCAGCGGTCTACAATCTTTATGCTTTTTGTTTTGGTTTGCGTCTGTTCAGTCTCAGCCCTCTCATTGGTATCATTTAGCTTGATGCGGCTAGGGAAAAGGTCCCTCCATGCTATCTACTTTGCAGGAAACAATGGACGTACAATGTTAGCATCTAGCTGGTGAATTGTAGAGGAGCCTTGAGCAGATATGTCTGCCAGCAGTAAGTAGGTAGGAGAGCAAAACAGAGCTAAATATGGGACTTAGGTGGACACAAAACAACCATAAATAAATCATATGAATTCTCTTCATCTGATCGATGTGTGAGCTGGCTATTAACCCCTTCAAAAGAAGCATTACATCGTGTTTTCTTTCAATACTTTCTTTAATGCTTGTTGCACCCTCCTGCAGGTCTAAACCCAATATTGAAGTTATCTAAAAGATTTGTTTAATTTTTGAAGAACTAAATTAAAGGTAACACAAATCTACCGTCTACCGTGGTTTACTTGTTTTTTTTCTAATACTGATCATGGTTGGCTAATTCACTATTTGGATGAATCAAAGATGCACCAGCAGCAACTCCCATACAGGCTTGGATTATTTGAATTCACTTTGAATACACTTTGAATACTGCAACAGACACACTGGAAGAAAAAAAATATTTCTGCACCAGATTGTCATGTTTACTGTAAAGAAAGAAACACAAGCAGCAGTGGGCCTTAAGGAATCAGCTCTTGACCTTGCTGGTCAATGAGTAACTCCTGGTTGTACTTGTCAAACAGTAACTGAATGCAAACACAATTCACATGAGCAAGCAAGTACTCTGGGTTTTGTTTAATGCTGAGTGTTTACCCAAGAGATACACACATGGTCACACACGGCGCAGTAATCTAATAATTTCGACTCTGCAGGCTCCTGACTGGAAGTCGGAGGGTGGTCAGGGAAAACAACATCAGTCTTTTTATAAGTTAAACAAACATCTGGGGCTGTAAAAGCTGGTCAAACAAGTGCTGTGAGGGAGGACAAAGTACAGCGGTGGCCATGTCTGGACGTCTTTAAACATCTATCCTGCTGTCTCTAAATGATTCTGGCATGCCTGGGAAGATGTTTAATGTCTAACTGATGTCCATATAAAGAAAAGAGGTGCACTGAGTAAACAGAAAGCTGGATACACTGGAACATGGAAGAGGCATATAAGTTAATAATAAATCTGTGCTTTTGGCAAGGCTTGGACTACAAGACATGTTTGCAGTATATTACTCTTTATCTGCATTATATTTGATTTGATGAATTTTCCTATGACCAGTGTAAGAGTTCAAAGAAGCCACATCCTTGCACAAAACCATTGTCAAAGTCTGACTTGTTCCCATTATATGGCTCACTCACTGACATTAATTAGTTTCTGTTGTCACCAGGATTAGTCTGGTCCTCTCCAGTTGAAAAAAAACCCCAAAACTTCTGTTTCAAACCTTTCAAAGTGCCAAAGTCTGAACTTGAGCATTTCATTATGAATAGATGCAAAGTAGTAAAATACTTTATACGTCAAAACACTCCCCACTCACTGAAGTATTCATGCCATCTGCATCAATTAAACCCGGACGAAAGCACTTAAAAAGATGCAAAACAAAAGGCAATGTGCCTCTCACTGTCCCAATCCCCCCCCCACCCCCCTCTTTGTCAGTGCAAACACTTAAAAAGCCAGAGATGCTGTGTGCTGTGGATGTGAAAGAGTCCCACCAACTGTGCTAAGGATAAAAAAAGGTTTGGAGAGTGCTGTAACATTAGCTTCGTATTTCCGAGAGATAAGGTTTCATAAAAAGAGGACAAAGAATGTACATTAAAGTATCATGCAACTAAAACAAAACTTGTAAAGCTTGTAAAACTTCAGTCACACATGGCTGGCAAAGCCACAGAGACAAAACAAAGTCACTTGTCCAAACCGGAGGCTCACACTCTCAGTTACTGGGTCAGTGGAGCACTTTAACTTCTTGACAAGAAAGAACCAACAGAAGAGAGTGAAACACAAGAGTAACACTTTACCATCTTTGCTGGAGTTTCTCCTCTTTCACACATAAAGTTTTTCCATTTTTTGGTGCTGATAATCCTCTGCAGACAGCTTCCCCGGGCTCCGTGCTGAGAGACTTGCCATGTTTAGAGCATCAACAACAAAAGGCAGCTGAAGTACATCCACATGACAGCAAGTTGTCCTGACTGGAAAGTAACCGGAGTCACTTCCATTCTTCATAGAGCTTCCACAAATCCAAGTGTGAGGCACAGGACGCAACAAAATTGTCAGAATGCCTGTTGATCCACAAGCTCCTCTTTCACTTCTCTTTTTGCGTCTCAGGCTACTTGGAGTGCTTAGAGAGAGAGAGGGAGGGCGAGAAAGAGAGGGAGGAGGGAGAAAAAGGGGGAGGAGAAAAGCTTTCCCTTTTTTGGGGGAAATCCCCCGAAGGCTTTTCAGCCTTTTCTTTGCTCTCTCTCAAACACACACAACCTTTATCACATACCCACCTACAGACACAATATGGATGAATAAAGCATGTCAGCCTGCAGAGAAACAATGACTGGGATTGATACTGTAGTAGGGTAATGTAAGACTTCCAACTCTCCCACATCCCCCTTTGTCATGTATGTAAACTCAAACATGCACACGGATGCATGCACACTCCTTTGGCCCAGCATCAGAGAGATGCAGAAATCCAGCCCCTCGTTTGTGGCCCCTTTCTTCTATTTTTAATCACTGGAGGCTTTTGAAGGCTAAGTCTGTCTGTCTTTCTCTTCTGTCCCTACGTGGACCCTCCACTGTCTGCTCCGGGCTTTCTCATTTCCTCTCTTCAGCAATTGTCTTCCGGCAGACTGCCCAGTCTTTTTTGACTCATATCAAAGGGAGAGGCAGTGGAGGGGCTTCCCTGCAAGAGGTCCAAACTAAACAGCAGGCCCGTGAGACGTGCAGCTATACCTCCACATTAGGCCTAAAGGAATGAAGGGTTACAACCCCTGGACTGAATTTTTACATCTGGATTTTGGAGACATATAGAGTAGGAAACCCAAAACCTACTGCTGCAAGAAGTAAGGTTCATAACTGAGACATTCCTTGAGGAGAATGACTGACAGGCGATCGTTTATTTCTAGCTGCTGAAGGCGGGAGAAGAAGCTTGAGAGTGAGGTGGTTTAAAATGCCGCTCACAGCCGGCCTCAACCTCTGTCTGTTTATTCGATCAAATTCCAGAAATTACAACGAGAGAACGTGCATACTTTCATCACGAGAATAAAGGGGCAGAGTATATTTGCTTTAATTCATGTTTGTCTTCATTGGGCAGGTGAACTTTCAGCTGGAAACATGAAACATAAGCCTCAGTCTCTTTCTCTCACTCTCTGTGGTTTCCTACTGTGGAGAAACTGCCGTCTCTTGAGCATTCCTCGCATGTTTTCCTTTTCGCAGAAAGAAAGCCATGCTTAATTTCTCTTTCTCTCTAAACCACACAAATACGCAGGTGACATTCTTGTAATGTAAAACTATTGCACTCCCAGTTTTCTCACCTTGTTCAATTCTCACCTTCTCAATCATCCTGTCTTTGACAAATTCTTACTTTAGTTGGTCAAGGAACTGTATTGCCCCAGAAAACCTCGACATACTACCCAGTATGTGGGATTTTGTAGACCCTCATCGTAGAAATTTGCTTAAAGTTCACACAACCAGAATAGTTGGAGCAACATAATCTCTATATACTGGAGTCTAGAGTTCCGTTTCTGATCACCTTAAGCTCTGTTTTTGGTCCCACAAACCTTTTTACAACAAAGTATGACTCTTCAGTTGCTGTTTTGCTGAGTACCTGAGAGTAGGCGCAGCGTTAATGAGTACTATACTTTTATAGATTTATCTTTTAAATATCTGAATATCATTTAACAACTTTAATACAGTTTCCCCTTAAAAAAATGTAGATATTATTATTTTTCCTTCTCTCATATGTAAAGTCTTGACCAATCAAAGCAAGCCATTTTACACTATCCAGGCTGCTCAGCAGTAGATGGCTCCTTTGCGGGACAGAGGGCTCTGTTATTGGGACAGAGAGGGGGGCTACATGTGAAGGTCAGGGACTCAACTTTCAGCCAGGTAAAAGTCCTTTCATTTCTCAAGGACCAACTCATCCATTTCATCAAAAGTACAGTAACTGTCACTACATGTGAAGGAATCACATCTATTTTCCAAAAATTCTAAGACAAATCCTTGAAAACAACTTAGGAGAGACAATAGGAAGTTCTGGATGTCCCTGCCTTGTCTCTTTTCTCTTAAAAGCACACGTACTGTAGACTGTTTCTGTTGACACAAGCAGCTTTTCTCGAATTAAAAGGTAATATCTCGCCCATCGACCATAGCTCTCCCTCCCTCCCTGCTATTAATATAAACAGATATTATTCCATTAAGGTCATCAAAAGGAGGACTATTTTTCAAAGTAGAAAACACAACAGTTATCTGAAAAATGAGTAATTGGTCTTTACCATCCATGGCAAAAACAGGATTATTACTATTGTCAATCAATATTTTTGCACTGGGCAGTATGTTTTACTCACTTGTGCCAAGGCTACATGATCATACAGCTGCATGAGAAAAAAAAGGTCAGTGTATTGTTAATGTTTCAGAGATACATTAAAAGTATTTTTTTTTTAAAGTTTAGAAGTATAAGGAGGGTAATAGTTTTCTGACAGGTCCAACCAAAATGACCTATCCTGGCTCCACGTCCTGCCGTGGAGTTGCTAACTTTCTGTTTTTAGTTATATTGGGCAGACAGTGAAGGCTACATTTGCTGTGTCTTAGCTTCTTCCCAAAATGCCTGTTAGCATCTTTAAGAAAGAATGCTAACTTGAACAAACTTGAAAAGTGACGTTGCACTCTGTGAGAACAAAACAAATGATTTAAAGACAACATATTAACACACACAACAGATTTTTGGTATCGGAAGTGTTCTGGTTTCCATTTGTAGTCCGAGAATAATTGTCCCCTAGTGTACGTGGGCATTGGCTGCTTACAGGAAGACCGTCAATGTGGAGTACAAAGGAGGTAGAACCACAATGCAATCCTGGAACCCATTGGCAGTCATCTGGACATTTTACAGTAAAGCGCAAACTATGTAAGGGTATCATTGTTTCTGGGTGACCTCCATTTAGTTATATGCATGTATCAGTCAGGCTCCATCTGTGACTCCAGCTGATTTACAAGAAAGCAAGCATTCCCCTTTTATTTCTTTTTCACTCATTGTCAAAGTCCAGACAAGTCCGGGCCATCTCCTCAGCAGAAAAATGACAGTGAAACCGAGGGCAGGGAGGATGAAAGCAGGGCCACAGCAGGCTAACACTCAGATCTGATCTGGGCTTCATGAAAACCAGATGGGCTGTCCATCTAGATCAACAACGAGGGAAGTGGAGAGGATGGAAGGGGCTGCTGTGAGTCAGTGAATGTGGAGACTTGATAGGGGTAGATAAAAGCAGACATAAACACTCATACTGTAGGTATACACAGCCAGAACCAGACACAACCAGACAGAGAAATGTACATAGAGATAGAGAGCGAGAGTTCCGGAGATATGGCTAAGAGTCGGGGAAGTTCGCAGGAAAACTCCCACAAGGGCTCATTAAGCAACCGTGTAAACATGCACACACACTCTACTTCTTCACTAAAGACATAAACACGTACATTTACACACACGAACACACACACAAAATAACAAACAAACACACAGCAGGACGATGTTCTCCCTCCCTCAGCGTCTAATTCCTTTCCAGTGAGTGTGAGACCCCTGAAGCAAGCAAGCCCGACCCCTTCAGAGATTTACTTCCATCACTCGCCTATATTACCTCCCATGTTCACTCAGACACAGCAGACTACAGTCTTGACAGTTCATAAGGCATGACTCACAGTGAGTGTACACACTCATATTGTCATTAAAAAGCATGGGAGAATGCCAGCTTTCCTCTTTGGCAGTCGACCCCCTGCATCACTTCTTGGATCAATTACCAGACTCCATTTGTTCTCCGGGCCTACATCCATTTACTTCATGTGTCGTTTCATTTAACACAAGGGGAGAAGAGCAATATCGCCACTGATAATTCATCAAGGGTATCCTGTTCTTGGACCAGACCCAAACTCCTTAAGTATGTCTCTCTGACATTATTATGAATTGTACTGTCTCACTGACGGATGTCTGAGTCGCTCTCGGCTGTAATCGCTCGTCTTGACAGTACTAGATGAAAGAAGAAGGCAAAAAGACAAAGAGGTTTGCTGTCCCTCCCTTGTTCTACTTTCCCAGAGTGACCTTATCACGTCTGAAGATCTGCTGCTGTGATGGTGACATCATTTCCTCCTTGACCCTGGCATGTCAAGATTAGGGGCGCCCAGGCTTGTCATTTTGACTTTCAACAAACAGAAGGGATAAAAAGTCCCGGCATCTTCCCTGTTCACATCTGTCTACACCACAGATGTTTTTCTGTGTATGTGTGTGGCATTTCTTAGTCTTTTAAGAGAGGATTTAAGGTATGTTATGAGTTGTGTGTCAGTCTGTGTTGTACTAAAGAGAAAATGAGGGTCTTGTGAAGAAAACATCAACATTCAGGGAGACACACTACATTCCTGCAGGGTCAGCGGGACATGTGTGTGCATGTATGTCTTTCATTATTCATTCAGGTGCCGTCAAGCACTACATCTTGACATTAAATGTTCCCAAATGTTCTCTTCCCTTGTAATAGTAAATCCATCAGTCTATTCGGTTCTACAGATCACGCTCCATTTTTAATGGCTAATAAAAGACAGGACAGGGGCGCCTCCAGCGTTTTGAATTGCTTTCCATCTGTCCCACTTTAAGAGCTTTGCTCCCACTGAGATTTCAAAATGAGACATCACATTTCAATACGAAGAGAAAAAGTCTCAATGGGATTAAAGCACATATCTTTGTCAATAAAGCCAGATCAAATTTTTCTAGCAATTGGCTGAAAAAAGAAAACAGACTTCAAAAATAGGTACCAAGTACCCAAAATATCCACTTGTAAAAAAAAAAGGTAAGGGCCGGTGAAAAGTTTAAAATTAATTTTAAAAAAATGAGCAAAGCATCTTGCCAACTGACTTTAATATGATTGATCAGTATAGTTGGATTAATAATAATCCTTTACTGACGGCTGCCGTACAAGAGATCTGATATTCTCTGCCCTGGTTTTGTTTCATCACTGAATCCCTTTTAGAGTATATCCACCAAATGAAGCTTAATCCCTTTTGGAAACAATGCGCTTTGCTGGTGATTCCCATTCATCTTCAATCAGGCAAGTGTCTGAGTCTATCTGTGTGAGAGCTAAGGAGATCA